ACAGTCATCCAGACAGCCATCTAAGGAGAGCGAGTCCTCCACCTGCACAGATACAGCTGACACATCGGTGGGACACGCTGCTAAAAGAGCTTCCCCGCCTTTCCCCCATCCCAGGGTTGCAACGATACAGTCGGTTTCCGAGGTTTACCCATCAAGAACCAATAGAACAGTTTACCGATGGTGAATCCTTGTGAAGAAATATCGTCTCGAGCTTTCGGTTGCGGCCGTATTGTGGGGGAGGAACCCACCGCGCGGGGAACCCGGCTAGATGACAGGCCATTGTCATTGTTTTCGGAAGCAACTCAAACATGAAGCCTCTTAGCCTCCCACGATACTGGTACAGCTCTTCAATTATATATAGTAATAGAATCGTAATAACGGCTTGAGCAATGTCGGGGTCACATCAGAATCACAATCATCATGGTGTGTCTTTCGAGCTTTGTTGTCAGCGCGACTTTGGCGGCCACTACCCTCGCCTGGGTCATTCCCAAGGCCCTCCCGTGGGCGAACCTTGCCATCTCCGCCTCGCCCGATGACCGTTACCTGTATAGGACCAAGACCAAAGAGCCCTTCTTCTGGATCGCCGACACTAATTGGGAGCTTTTCCACAAGCTCAACCGCACCGATGTCGACCTCTATCTCGCGGACCGCGCTACCAAGGGCTTCAACGTCATCCAGGCGGTTGTTCTATCCAAGTACAATGTTACAACTGTTCCCAACTTTTACAGAGACCTAGCCATCAACAATGACGACGTGACGCAGCCCAATGAGGGCTACTTTTCCTTCGTCGACTGGGTCGTGACACGCGCCGCTGAGTATGGCATCCTCATCTGCTTCGTTCCCACCTGGGGTCGCTACGTCAACTGGGGCTGGTACGGCACCCTGGGCTATAAACTCTTCGACGTGGACAACGCCGAGGTGTTCGGACGTTACCTGGGAAAACGATACCCCGGTATCCCCAAGTTGATGGGCGGAGACTCCAACGCCTTCTGGGCCAACAATGTTCCCCAGGCTCGTCAGGCATGGCGCGACGACCCTGAGTCAGACCCTAAATCTCATCTCGGCCCCATCGAAGATACAAGAGATATTTGGGCCGCCATGATGAAGGGCTTCAAGGAGGAGGAGGCAAAACTGGGCTACGATGCCTTTGTCTCCTACCAGCCCATGAGTCCTTGGATTGTTGATCCTCCTACACCCTTCCCGTATGGACACAACGTAAGTCTCTCCCTCACCTTGACATCCGCTCAGGTGCTAACTCGTCGCAGTATATCAACGGAAGCTATGGAACTCTCTCCATGGACGCTGTTCAGTCTGGCCACGAGCGCCCCGACCCCAATAGCCTTGACGCTGGCTTCACTGTCCTGCGCCCATGGGATTCTCGCAAGAACTACGAGAACATCCTTCACATGCGTGACGAACTTTCTGGCCCTGTCATGGATGTTGAGAACCACTACGAAGGCGCCCATGACTCCTTCAACACTAGCAAGCCGGTCTGGAACTCATCCGACGTCCGCCACGGCTACTATCCCGCGGTGCTTTCAGGTGCCTGCGGAATCACCTACGGCTCTCTCCCCGTCCAACAGTCGTACGAGAATATGTCGTTGATCGCCAGCCCCGACCGCTACATGGAGCCGTAGCTTGGTCTCTCCAAGAACGCTAGTTGGCACGAAGCGATCCACTGGGCAGGCGCCAAGGAGACAGGTTATGTCGGTCACTTGTTCAAAGGCCTCTCCAAGAAGCAGTTCCGAGGCCTCCAGCCTGCCCGCGAGTTCATATCGTCTCCCAATGGCGCTTCTGATAATATTCTAGCGTTTGATGCCGATCGCTACATTACTGGAATTATCACCAGCGGCCAGTATTGGGTCTATAGCGGATGGGGCGACGCATTCACTGTCGATCTCGCGGCTATCGCCAGACAGTGGAGAACATCGGCTCCTATCACCGCCCAGTGGTTTAACCCGCGCACGGCTGGGCTGGAGTCTGTCGGTTCAAAGGCAATCCAGGCCAAGGGAAAGAAGACGTTCACGCCACCGACTAGCGGAGGTGTGGACTTTGATTGGGTGCTGATTCTCGAGTTAACTAAGGGCGACTGTATATAGTTATTCGATTCTATTTATTCTCAACCCCGCTAGTCCAGCCACAACTGCTACAATCTAGTAAATATAAGAAATGCTTAGTTCTAATTTTAAAGGTAGTAATTTTTATATCTTATAATATATTAACTAACTTTTTCTATATAATTATTTATAGTTTTTAAGAGTTTAGTTATAATTTTTACTTATATTATCTTACTATTTATAAATTATATATTATTCTCTTTATATTAATATAGTAATTATATAATATATATAAGCTTAAATTTATATTAATTTTATTAGCTTTTTAAATATAAACTTATATATTTATTATTTATTTTAATTTTAATTTAATTATTTATTTCTTACTATTTAAATATAATAATACTTATTATATTACCTCTTTTTACTATATATTAATATATACTTCTTATTCTTATATCTTTCTTATCTATCCTCTCCTATACCTAGATTCCAACCTCTCTTCTATAATATACAATTTCCTATACTATTAGCAATAACATACCTTACCTAACCTCCTAAACCTATACTTCTATACAAACCTACATCTACAGCACCCCCTGTAGCAGTCTCTATATTAATCTACCACCCACCCCTCTACCTATAATTCCCTATATTATAGAAAATAACTCCCCCTATCCTACAGGCAGCACCTATACGCCAATCATATACTCTACGCCCGGATTTCTATGGGGCGGCGAGTATATCGCCACTTTAATACCAGCGCTGTCTACAATTTGCACTGTTAGCAATAATATATTGTACTTAAGTGGAAGTACCTGCACGCCGACTATAACTTGTATAAGTAGTATGCCCTGTGGAGGTATATGTATTGCCACTCTAACCCCGGTATCTCTTATCCTGTATACTGTAGGGAATAATATATCTTGCTCGGCAGGAAGTATATATATGCCAACTATAGTATGCACTACCAAGTTGCTATATAGAGGAGTATATATTGTAACGCCGATAGTAGCTAGTATAAAGTATCCGTAAATTATACTAAAAAGTATATATTGAGGGTGGTATTATTAGTATGATTAAGAATTGCGAGAGTGAAAATTCTTAGATGGGTGTAAAGATGGATATGTAGGTTTGCTTGGCTATTTCTAGTACTCTCTGCAGTTTGTTGTACGTCTCCTCTATTATATCTCCCTATATTAGGATTACTATATTGTTAATAAAGCCAGTGGCAGTAGTATCCTCTGCAAGGTTGTAGCTCTTAATAAGATCTTTATTGTAGATTATGGGTTGCAGACTAAGTAACTAAATTTAATTTAATAAATTCAGCAAGCTACAAATATATATAATTGAGAAAGAGGATATATAGGCACAGCACACTCTTTCTTGCCCGCCTTCCATCTATTGGGCTTTTTTATTTGACCTCCGTCATCCCTGTCTGACCTCTATCCTTAATGTTTCCACCACACTACACCATCGACATCAGACCACCTACCACGCATGTCATACTGCATACTCCTGTGTTCGTCCACGCATCCGTGGTCATATTGTTCCTCACGGTTAGGTACTGCTCTACCCTTGCCGTTCAATCTGAAGTCAGGTGCTCGGCCGATTGAGTGCATCTCCAAGGACACCTTCAATAGCAAGTGGGCGAGCAGATCTACGTTTGCCTCGCCGTCAAGCTCTGCCCCGATACCTTTAGATAGACCCGTGACGGCGACGGAGGTGGCGTCGGCGGACAAACAGACAAATCAATAAAATCGCCGCGAAGCTCAAAAGTCCTCCAATCAGTGTACGTGGAGAGGAGCTCGGGGGTATGATTGGTCAATTTACTACGAGTAGAAACATCGCTAACGTGGCTGAATGGACTTTGGATAGAACTTTGTTGTGCCATGATTCAATTTACCTTGCCAGAAATCTGAGGGAGAGAGGGTGAAATGGAAGGAGCAGAAAGCTGGACGTTGGATCTGTACAGCGAAGAGCGGTTTCTAGACAAGAGTGCTTTTGACAAAGAGGGGCATACGGGTGGGGGTACGATGTTGGGACAACACCTCCTCAACAATTGGATGAGATCTCCCGTGTGATGTGAACAATGAATTACTACTTATCAAGGGCCAACGCAGGGGTTACGGAAATCATTATTCTGGAAGCCTCTCGTAGTGTTCATTCGGCATCCAGGTAGCTTCGACTGTCCCCTCAACTTACATGTCACACTATTCAGGGTGCCCTCCCTGTCTCAGGATCCCGTCTCTCACCGCGGTATCCCTTCGGATCGGCGAGTCTCTCTCGACAACTATCACTTCCGCTTCGTTCGTCTCGCTTCGACTTCAAATGACGCAGCCGTATCCCCATCTTCACAGGCGCCTCAACACGCAACGGGCTGGCTGGCGGGGATAGGTGCAGCCCTCACGAACGACCGCCCACTTCTTCGCCAGACTATGTGTGAAGGGAGGTCATAATCACCGCGCTGAGTGACATCGGAAACGTGGCGCTCGAAAGATGGAGGGTGACATGCGCCTCAGTGGGCGAGGACCAGGGGGCAGCTAGTGCCTGGCAAGAGGTTCGCTTGGCCCGTGCTCGGTGTTGATGAGGAGAATGGTTTTGCTTGTCATTTATCAACTTGGATGATGAAAAAAGTAGAACACTTGTGATAGCTCTCTGACAAATAGAAAGATGAATGAGGTGAGCATCCTCCCGTGGATCATCACCATGGTCGTCTGCCGTCACCGTCAATCACCCGGGGCTTTGGAGCCTAAGGCATACTCAAAACCGGTTCACCATAAAGCTCCTCCCCTCCACAATGGCAGCCTCTCCCCTTTCCGCCTCCTCTCCTCGATCTCATAGAAAAGACTTCCATCGTATTGTCGTCTCACATCCTCCATCCTCAAAACCCCTTTCTCATCAGCCGCCAACAGCCATAAAGAGCCCCAGAGGAAGACCTGGAACAAAAAGCCTGCAACATCAAAAACGTTTCTGTTTGCAACGCACATCTTGATTATTTCGGAGAAGAACAGGCCACCTTTCTTGTCCCTATAGATTCGGAGAAGGCATTAGTTATTAGATTTTAAGATTGTCGGCGGATTTGAGGTTAGTAAAATAAAGCTCAGAGAAAAGGTATATAAGCGATTATACCTTTATGAAAAGTAAATAACTCACATATCAAATTTCCAAATCCTTTCGAAAGATGCCTCGTCGAACTCGCCGTTACGGTCATAACTTCCTGTATCACTGCCATGCTTCGCTCTCGCAATATTCTTCGCGTTTACCGGGCACCCGTTCACTACCCAGCCTATCGGGACGAAATCCTCGCTTGTAGGATACCCTACATGTACCGTAAAATCGAGAACAGAGACAAGGGAAATGAGAGTGTTGAAACCAAGGGCTCGGAAGGAGGCGTATATTTCCCAGGGGTAGATGAGATCAGATTGGGTGGTAGAGCGGGAGAAGAAGCGGAGATGCTGTCTAGCAATGTTAGCGAAACACTTGGAGCGTGGATATGGGACTTGGGGAAACGACCCTTTGTAAAGCTGTGCCGTTAAGGTTGGCTTTTGAGGTTGTGACAGGATTTTCATAGTCCGCCATCTGTGACTCTTCGGGGCAATCGAGTGCGAAGCTAAGAAACTGGGTTTGAGATTATTTTGAACGAGTTTGAGATGGGCATTTTCAAGAAATAACAGTCCATGTATTTTCACATGATTCTACGTTTACGTAGACTGTAAATGCCTGGTGGTGGAGGGTTCATATCCGCTAAAAAGCCACAAGATTATTGGAAGATGACCACGGGTTGATACGTAAGTGTGAGCAAGTGTCCTTTAACTTTCACTATTTAATTGGTATAATTGACTGTGCGTGCAGCCAAGAAAACTTTAAAATACGGACCAGGCTCTGCTTCAGATCAGTTCATTGGTGCGAGGAAGCAACCCTGACATAGCGGTTAGAATGCCACATTCACATGCGCAAGCTGGGAACCGACCAGTTCAAGAGGTTATAGAAGACGGCATTGCTCTTGATCAATTTGGCGGGAATGTGGAGGGGCTGGGCAGTGTACCTTCGCCGCCTCATGCCTCCTGAACGGCATGTTATTGGTCCTCCTCAGAGGCACCACTCACATGACGTTTTCTTGAGTTTGGAACAACTATTGTGCCAGGATATAGTGGCCTTACGAATTTTCATGTGCCATTGAGCGCAGGCTACGGCCATGATGTGTCTGTTTTCTGAGCGATGCCTAACCTGCCCCTAACCCGATAGCCAGACAGCGTTTTGGTGTCTACTGCCTACACCATCATGAGAAACATGGCGACGCGCCAAGTGCGGTTCGCGTTCTACTGAGACAATGCCCCCGGCACCCTGAAGATTACTCATGTGGTCCCAGAGGATCTCTTCATGACCCGAGCTCAAGCCCAACAAGATGGCAAGTACCACGGTCGGTTTCGAAGCGCGCTGCTCCCTATTATAAAATAGCACGAAGCCGCCTGCCTAGCAGCTTCCGGTCCTTTTTGCGGAATCTGCGGCACGCCTGTCGCGACCGTTTTGCAGATGCCCATGTCTTTCCTTGACAGAGAGGAGGACCCCTGCGTAGGGGTGCTTGTCAGCGGCCTATGTGGGAAGGGCGAATGTGAACTTCAGACGCGACGGGACGTCCAGGAGGAGATGTCCGAACTTAGTGCAGAGGGCCAAACGTGCGTGGAAATTACAGGTTGTAAAATATGTGGGAAGACAGAAGGGACGATGAGATGCGGGCGGTACAAAGTTATAGCATACTATAGGAAAGAGCACCAGAAGCAGGAGTAGGAGGTGCATAAGAGAATAATGTATGCCCAAGCTGGGGAAGTGTTTAGGAAGGGTAGGCATTTGAGGAGAGTCAGGGACATGGCCAGCCGGTATAAAATGAGGGACGACGCAGGCCGATAGTGCTTACGATTGGAAGGCGACCTGCTATGTTTTCATTTATCTTATTTAGGGAGAGAAGTGAGATTGTTATCTACATATCCTGCCGTAAACTAACTCTGCAATCTCTTTAGGGGATAACAGCTACGATGCGGGCGAGAGTCTCCATCGGGATTCGGGTAGAGGGCTGGCGCAAGAGAGGATTCTGCAGGGTCAGCCGCGGTTGAAGGAGAAGGTGGGGCTGGGTGAGGATTCCCTGTCGGAGGCGGTGCGGACGGCTTGTATGGGGAGCAATTCCAAATCTTTGGCGTTGTGGCCTCGGCCGAGGAAATCTATATCTTCCCATGAATGCTGGATGCGGAAAGGGCGTTCTGAGGTAGTAGTGGTTGAACTCGGCAAATGTACAGCTGGACAGGTGGAAGGATAACTGCCGAGCTAGCTGTAATTGTTAATAGGGCATTGTTAAACTTAATTTGCCTATAATAAGATCAGATACTATAGTAAATACAGTAGTAAGTAGAATTTATTTTATAATATAACTCTTTATTATAGAGCAGTAAGAATATTCCTTATATTATAAGCTAACTTATTTATAACTATTATTAAATACTTACTTTAAATAGGTAAGTAAAACCTTAATTTAACTAGCTAGAATACACTAATTTAAAAGAATTACTAAAGGAATTTACTCTGGGATTACTATATTTGTCACGGGCCAGGGCCCATATCCTTGCGGCTGTGCCGCAAGACGTACTAGGCTCGTGCGCGCCAGGGATGAGAAATCGTTCCACAGTTCAGGGGCACTTGAGAACTCCTTTCTTTCTTCTTCATCTTTGATGTAAATAGCATCCTGGACTAGATAGCTGGAATCTAGCTACTAGAAGCCGTTCACAATATTATTAAAAGTAATAAGGCAGTAAAATAATAAGATAAATAATATATAAAATATTATAGCCTAAGTTAGAATTAGGCAGTTATAACTAGCAGAACTATAAGTAGTCTTACTATTTTCCTTTTTATATAAGGTAATTACCTAGTTATAGAACTATAAAATTACTATAACTGTGAAGGGCTGGCCCTGGGTTTGTTCGACGTAAGGGTGCGGTAGATTGGTCTATTTAAGACTAAGGAGCAGGAAGGAGAGAAGGGGCTAGCTCTAGGGAGGTCACAGCTATAGAGCAGAGCTCTCGCTTGCAGAGCGGTAGTAGCTGGTAGAAGGGAAGGTCAATCTTGTTAGATTGGATCATGTATAAAGCATCTGATCGGGTGGTCACGTGGTGACCTCCAGGGTCGAGACCGCCTATTGGGGCAGATACCTCAGGACCCCACTATTAGTCGACAGATATACACTCAAGCGATCATAATAGGGGCAACGGGGAGAACATAGAGAATACACACACATATTCAAGGTCAACCGAGTGCCACGCTAGCTTTCCGACAAATCTCGCCTAGCTCGGTCGGCCTCAGCCGGTCGGGAGCGGCACGGCGTAGCCCGTGCCCCCATACCGGGCCTCAGCCCGTGACAATAACTACACATATATATAATACACACGATTGACATCATCAAAGTGCCACGCTAGTTTTCCGACACCATGCCCTTCCCGGATTGCGTCTTTCTCCCGACCTACTGGGGCTAGCGCGTGCTAGCGAACCGGCGCCAAAAGTCTAAATGGTTGCGCCCACGGAAGCTTCTTGTGTGAGGCGAGAGAGGGCCAACTCACCAACCGGTCCAAAGGCCCAGCTTGAATCGCCTGACCAGGCTACGGACGACTGTGCATTAGTTCACTTAAAAGAAGTTGGGGAACGCACATGGTCTATCCCTGGTGACGATGCAATGTCTGGGGAAGGAAAATGATCAGTGCGAGTATCTATTATATACTGATGAAGAATTATGCCACTATCGGTCATAGGGCAAATTGAGTGATTGAATGAAAGCTTAAGGTCTAGCTGCAGCTGTGACGCAGGCCACCCTTATGTACTGCTTCATCCCCTGACCTTGCGGGTAAATCAGGCGGTAGTCGGAGAATGCCGAAGGACTCTTTTATGGGTCCTGTCTCAGAATCCCTCCAACACAAACGAACTGTCTCCCCTCCGTCTTGCCCAGGCGGTCCCCAGTAGCCTGGCGGCCCTGCAGTCCCTCAACACCCGCCGCGACATGCACGTGAAAACCGACCATATCGATGCTCTATCAGAGCCCGGTCCGCGCAGAAGATCAGTAACGTCGAAATAGCAGCTCAAACGCAGCGATTCTCGACTCCAGTACTATGCGCTCTTCTAGGAGAGATCTATTTCTGTCCTCAAGGAGCGAAATATATTCTGTCGCCCTATATATAATGGCCTCCTGTACTCTAGGTAAGAGTGATTGTATCATTAGTTGGGTGCTAACTAACCTTATCCACTATTGTTTTAGGCGTTCCTTCTTGCGGGGCCTTCGTTGCATTCTCCCCTCCTCCTTTTGCCATACAACTCTCACTAGGTATACTATCCCGTAGTTCGGTAAATGTAGACCTGCGGGCTAATGGCGGGAATCAGCTCACCTAGCCCCACATTTTTCTCGGCTCATGGTTGTGAAGCGAGGTCTAGACCTGCGCGCTCTTGATGATCTGGCTCTTCACCAGTGAACCTTTCAGTCTAGCATCCATTAGTATTGGCGCGTGTGTGAGGGGGCAGTGACCCACACTTCAGGCATGCCAATTGACAGAGGGTGATAGGGATGGGGCATTGACTAGTACCATGTGATGATTGCCCCCCGATTACTCACAGGAGGCGTCCCGACTCCCCGGCTTCCGGACACCGCTGCTTACAACATGGTAGCCGCATATGAGCAGCTTGCCGAGTCGGCCCAACTTTGCTTGCGGTGGAGTTTCCTCAGTATCGTTCCTCAGAGACATATGAGTCCGTCCGTAGGTAGAGTTGACGCCTACCGAGGTGACGAGGTAGCGGCCAACACCGCGCGCAATGGTAGTCCTGCTGAGCATGAAAGGGTCGACAGGAACGGTATTGGATGGTTCCAGATGCAGCAGAGGAATCGAGGCGACAGACAACATTCGGAAAGCGACCTTGGAGCCCTGGAAGTATGTCGCTTAGCACCGAGTGACTCTGACAAAATCCTGTTTCTAGAACCAGGTAGATGGCAACCCGATTTCGGGGTTGTCTCATTCAGCATCAATCACCATACGGTGGCGAACTTCTGCCCGTTACTAGAGCTAAGGTGACGTATTTGCGCCATCATAACCCTAAATTATCACAATACCGCTAATAGTTCTTTAGTGTACGGTTCGCCGAGCTTTATAGATAAAGGCTTAAGCGGGAAGTTACTCACCAGCCACAATTCTAGTCTGTAAAGAATCTGTACTGTGTAAGAGCTCGCCGTCCCCTTTATGCATTCTAGTCTCACCCTGCCCAATTGCGGCCGCTAGGTGAGTGGCTAAAGGTAATATGGAGCACCCGAGAGACACTGTGAGGCATCTGGTGGGCGGCTGGTTGCTCACACCAAGACAGCTGCCCTATAAGTAGTGACTTTCTCCCTTTCTGGAACAAGAAAGGCTAACGAACTGTCCTTCGCTCCTTATCTCCTGTCTCCCGCATTTCAGGCGGTTACGGGCTTGTAGCAGTCTCCATCTCCAGTTTTTTACTTTATACGGCAAGACCCCTGACAAACATTCACATTAGGGCCTTGTCAAAGACTGTGGCTGAGGCAAAACCCCAGTGCAACATTTTGGCCTATGCCTATAGACGATCTATCTCGACCCTCTCCCGCAGGTCAGAGCTATTCAAGGCCATGGCTCGAAAAGTAATCCCGACTATTACGCACGATTTAAAGAGCGTACCGGTAATCAGGCTACGGACGGAACCATCAGATAGTCCTGAACTATGTGGGTTCAAGGATCGAACCTCCCCTGTGACGTGTGGCAGCGGTTATACCTGCAAATTCAACACTGATATTTATGCCGTCGGTTGCTGTACTAGCGATGCGTGCGACTGGCGGACGACTTGTTGCAATTATCAACCGCGGCTTACTTCCACGTCCCAATGTGGCAATGGAGAGAGTTACGGTTACTGGTAAAAACCTATCCCCGCAGAGAAGTCATTCATACAACTGATTATTGATGAGGAAGCCCCGTATCTGATCCCAAATACTCAACGGATGTATATTGCCTGACGCAGCGATTCGAAGGAGGATTTACATGGATGCCGCTTTGCACCGCGGCTTCTGCTATCACCGAGTCATGCTACTTCACTACAGCCGATGCCACAAGTGCCTGGCCAGGGCTTCCAAGACTAACTGGACTCAGTGGAATTCCTTCGACCCAGACCACAAGGCAGGTAGGCAACCCGGTCACAACTATCATAACGGTCACAGCAAATGCTACAGATGGCAACATAAGTCCAGGTACCCTAGCCGGAAGTGTTATTGGCGGCGTTATTTTTGGTGCTCTAATTTGTTTTGCTACTGTATTCGCGATCCACTATCGCAAGAAGAGGCAGGCACAGCGGGATTCTTTGGCACAGCCATACACTCAACCGAATCCAAACACAGATGTGGCGCATAATCCTGCAACTGCACCCCTTGGATTTAATACCATAAGCCGGCGTGAGCTAGAGGCGGATAGGACAGGTTGGGTTGAGCTAGCGGCGGATAGGACAAATCGGGCTGAGCTGGAGAATCACCAAAAGTAGGAAAAACAAGAGGAAATTGCTAGCTCAGTCAGAGCGAGGGCCAGATGAGGGCCCGTGAGAAGGCGCCATGTTGGGAGGTAGGCTGCGTGACTCCGTCGTCTTAGACATTCGGCAGCAGATGCAGGGACTCCGTACACTCCAGAATACCGGGATCGCTCGAAATCTCATTTATCTTTTTTATAACTTTTGAAATACCTGGTAGCCGCTTGGCGGAGATTAGGAGGATGCTTGGCGGCGGAATGATTGGCCCAAGGGAGGGGGGACGGAAGGAGGCCTAAGAGCCTTTCGTCACCTCGTTCCTCAAGTCATTTGGCTTAACAAGCCCCTCACTCGGTTGACAAATAGCTCACCGATCTTCTTGCGCTGCTCAAGCTCTTGTTTCGCTAAGTCTGACTGTTCCGCCTTATTTGACCACTCCGCCTCCGAGTATTTGTAGTCCAGACCGGGCAAAATGATTCCGCTGCATGCCAAGTCCAGGATCCCGAACCGCAGGGTATCATTAAGTTCGCCGGCGATGCTCGGCGGCCTACCGTGTTTTGATGTATTGGCCCTGAGCTTGGCAACTATTCCAAGGACGTTCAAGCCCTGTTGCAGGTCGACGCCCCACGGCTTGCCAAATCCAGTCAAAAAGCCAAGTGCTGTATGTTGAGACCGTATGACTAAGATGGTCCGATCTGCTGGTCGCAGAGATGTGGATACTATGTAATGAGCTGTGCTCCTCACAGACACACGCAACTCACACCTTTTCAATATGACCTGCAACCTTTTCGTTTTATCAATGGCAACTGTTGCAACGCCTTCCGTGTGGAGGCGAGGTTCGTCACGCTTTGTAGTGTATCCGGATGACTTTCTCCAAGAATATGTCGGCGAAGGTCTAATGCAATTTGATGAAGCCGGTCAGATTCGTTATACCGGCCCTGCGCATGGTACGTCGCCGCGAGTTCTGCCATGCTCCTGAGCGTATCAGGATGCTTCTCCCCAAGCACCTTCCGTCGGAGACCCCATGCTCGACTGTCTGCCGGCTCTTTCTCTCTCCACCGCCCTTGAGCATAGAGAAAGCTCGATACTCTCTGAAGTAGAGTTCCTGTCTCGATCTCTGTCCCGCTCACCTCCGCCCACTCGCCTACCCGTATAGCATACGTCACGTACTATTCGCATCGCGCCCACGAAGTCGGTTCCGATAGCGGGAAAAGGCCATCTACTATCTGCAGAGCTATGCCAGAATAGTATGCTTCACCCGTTCCCGGCCTGCTCTCCACCTCGGGCACCTTGCCTACGGTTGTCTCCATCGGGCCGCTTACTCTCAGCCCATATCGGACGGCCTCTTGCACGAGTTTATGTATCTTATACCTTCGCCTACTGTTCTCCGTCTGACGCAGGCTAAGAAATGAAAACTCTTTTAGTTGTGCGATGGCTTTTAGAATCTCAAGCTCCGTAGCTTTTCTGGTTGAGTTTTTATTGTTAACGTGATATCGACTAGCGGCTACTGCCATCAAGTCGTACGGTATGTCTTGACTGTCTATATACGCAACTACGTGTAATATCTGGTATGACATGACATCTCGCTCTCCACCCGAATCCGCTCCGTCGAGATCCTCCACGTCTCAAGCATACTGTTCGACACCTCCGGCCGTCGATGTCGGTCCGCGTCGCTCACCTTCAGCACTTCCCACCGAATCGTGCCTTGTCTGAGGAGGTCTAGGTATTGCTCGGCTGTTATCGACATACGCCGCATATACACACCGGCTTGCGAGATCGCCAACGGCAGGCATTGCAGTTCTTCTAGCAGAGCATCCAATGCTGCCTCCCACGAAGTCGAAGGCTCGTCTCTCACTCTTGCCAGGAGCGTTATCGCCTTGTTTATAGCCATCGACTGCACCTCAATACCGCGACGAGGTCTGACAAGCGTGCCGGCAATATGCGCGTCTCGACTCGTCCATAGTACTATCCCTTGCGACGTGCAAGGGATATATCTGTGTAGGTTCTGGTTCTCGTTCGTCCCCTCTCCTTTTGCTTGTTGACCGACTCCAAACAACCCCAGATCATCAGCGTTGTCGAGGATCATCAGCCATTTCGATCGAGCCTGCCCAAGATTTGTTTGGAAGATAGTGGCAACAAAACCAATCGGTAAAGAACCAGGTCAGGCGAGGCCAGTGCAAGGATATCGTTGATATCAGTCGCGATGTATGGTCGTCAGTACCGTCAATACAGTATACCAAAAATTGTCACTCAAATCCTATCTTCTCCTAATTCTTCGGCCAAAACTCTGGCTCTCCATGAATTCTCCCACTTCAGCCACCGTTGTGCAAGAAAGCTTTTCAGCTTATCCCGAGACATTCCATGCTCATTATCGGAAAACCATTCTTCTTTCTTTTGTATAATGGAATGGGCTAAGCCATTCCTCTGCTGTAGATGCCAGGCCATAGCTGGATCTAGCTCGGTGGTCACCTCTTCGATGAGCAACGTCTGACTTGCGAAAGTTTGTGCTTCAACCTCACTAGTGGCCCGCTCTATCTCGCTCGGAGAAAGGGTCGCCAGAACACGGCATATATACATCATAGTATATAGAAAGAATACGCGAAGCCTGATGCGATTGGGTGACTCGGCCGAGACAGGAAGGTTGAAAAGTGACTGTGGGTGTGGTGCTGCATGTTGGTAAATAACGTGGTCATTGTGCAGCGCCTTATGCATACTTCTTGCTCGCTCAAGAATAGCTGAACTCCGTACAGAGTACCCGCATCGATGTGGTGCATCTTCGAGAAGGTTCCGTAGATCCTTCAGGATACCTGGCAGGAAGCCTGTTGTTCCAAAGAATTTCCACCAGAGGCGGCAGTCCGTGTCCGATTGGAGATCAGAGGCACGTTGGAAGACACGTTGCCACTCTTGGGCCTCAAACATTGACGATTCCTTCCTGTACATCTCGTCTATTATCTGGAAGACTTTTAGCTGGGCTGGAAGGACGACATGGCGCAGGTGTAACCAACAATGGATGGACCTTGGCTTTTGAGAAGCATCCAGTCGAATTTGGATGTATAGCATCCAGGCCCTCGAAGCTCAACTAGCCTGATGCCACCCCTGTGATGATGGGCCAGGCGAGTTGTATCAGGAGGGCCGATTAACTGAATGATGGTACCGTTAAAACCATTCCTTGATTGGACATAAGGGTGGCTCACCTCGTACAGTACCATAAGCCGCGTTACGCAGTAGATGTCTGACCCTGTGCATTCTGCACCGTCCCAAATGGCAATTTGTAGGCTATTCAATGCCTTTCCATAGAGAATAGAGGGCGTAGACTTTTGCATCGGGAAGCCAAGCATTTGACCCGCCCTTGCAGCAACACAATGCATAGCATCATCCAGACAAGTGCTAGAGCCATAGCGGCTTGGCAGATAGGCCAAAAAAGATGAGTACCGTTTCTGGAGAAGGCTAACGAGGCGATTTGGCTCATCTCGCAGCAGACGGTAAGCATTTGTGGCAAGGTCCACATCCGTAAAACTGGTCAGATCCGTTATATCGAAATTATAGCTAAGCCTGAATGTCTCGTATCCACTGGACAAGGGCTGCGACATAGGTCCGAGACTTGAGACGTCACGCAGAGTATTCCTCTTCCACATGCCATACCTATCCTTGGCAGGAGAAGTTACGCCTGGAGCGCTCTTTCTTGCGGGTATCAACTCCCGAGAATCCGGCAGCGTGGCGATGTTTTCCTGGTTCGCGCTTTCATCCTGGCGACGGGTGCGGCCTGATCTTGCAGCCTGCCGCCGGACGATAGTCTTTGCATCATTCTTTTCAGGCCCAGTCGAGGGAGCGCCGGCGGTATCCACGAACACGAAGGCCGGTCCGTCCTTCACGCGGCTTCGAGGCTTTCTGAGCGGCAACTCAGGTCGCATGACTCGCGGCATAGTTCGAAGGCAGTATTGTTCAAGGGAAGAAAAATAGGAAACGCGGACTGATAGCCAATTGAATAGGGTGATAAAGCTATCAGGACCACATGGCATGGCTATGGCGCAGTAGATATTGCAATAACGGCGCAGCGTTTGCTGTTTTAGGCATATGCAGGGCTCGCGACGCGCTACTTATGCACGCGAGTTTATCACATTGCAACAACAGGTTTCATGGCGCGCAGCGTTTGCTATTTTAGGCATATGCAGGGCTCACGCGCCACACTTATGCCGCAGGTGACCCCAACAGGCGCGTTAAACGGCTAACGAGAAGCGGGGTGAGGGTGTGGGGTCGGGCAGCAATGGCCTCTATTTGTTAGATTCATTGGGTCGAAGAAGCCTGGCTGAGCCGGGAGCCAGGCTCATCGGCCGGGCAGACCGGTCCGCAGATCGCTTAGAGCTGACTAGATGATCTGCGTTATCTATTCGCCCTTAGAGGAAAAACTTGCTGCTGCATTGCAGGTGTTGGTTGTAACCGAGCTTCTGTCTTCCCTCACACGATACGAAGACCCATGAGTTGCTTGTCTACCGGCAGCAGCCAATGTGGATGAAACCGGCAGGATGCGGTGTTTTCTCAGCCAACGCTGCCGGAAATACATTGACCCATTGCTGCCTGATGCTCCAACCTGCAGCAACACCAAACCAGTCGTACACTTTGCCGTCCGAACTGCACGTTATCTTAGTCGAGCTGAGGTGGATTACTAGGGGGTTGCGGGGGCGCGTGATCGGCCGTGCTACGTTTGAGGGAGGCCCGAGCGGTGGTCAGTGATCAAACGACACTATTTGTGTTGTTCAAGACGTGCATCCCGACGAGACATTGGGTCCGGGAAGGGACGCTATTCCGTCGTTGCAGCCTTATAGACAACGTCCTGGTGTTGTGGGCCACTGTCCACTCTTTGTGGCCGGGGGTTAGTGAGGCCGGGACCGCCAAATGGACAAGTGGGGTCCGCGATTACGGTGGAAAATCGATGCACACGGGGCAAATCGGGATGGGGGGTCGTCCTCTTGACTCGATTGTTCTAACTAGCTGGGCTTACTTGTGACATCACAAAGTAACAGTGATCGAGCTTCAGCACACTAATTCAGCTGCATCCCTTTCTGGCGAAGTGCCTCCAGCATGCAGAAGGGCTGAATTGGCTCAGCCTGCAGGTGGGCGAAGCATCCGCGCATTTTCATTGGTAGCCTGATTTGCAGTCGCCGGATATTTGTGTTGAACATCAACTGCAACGCCCTTACCGACCCTTGTCACTTGAGGCTATATATGCACATTTATTTATAGAAGTGTTGTTGAGCAGGCTACCTGCGAAGCAACGAAGAATAAAAGCAACCGATGTCTGCCGCCATTCATGCCACAACTTTCTTCGAGAGAAGGCTACAGCGACTCTCTACACACATATATCGCCAATCTCTTTTCAGTAATTCAACATGGGGAATACTTGCTCCCAGCGCTCAAACTGCACTGTCATATTCGACAGCACAGTCAGCACGGTCTTGGCTCTAGGAGGAGTGACTCCAGGCAACTTCGAGACTGACCGGGATATTGCTGGAATCGGAGTAATATTTTCTCTCATAACTCAAGCTTTTTCTTACTAGAGACTTACCAAGACATAGACGGTCGTAGCCTTGGTTGTGGGCACCCTCGCTGGGCTTTTCGTTGGGTTGATTGTCACCATCGGCCTCATTCTTGATCGTATACCCAAGTTCACTGATTGGAGTTACAAGTACGGTCAGCCCCCACAAAGAGCCCCCACAAAGACGACCCCAAGAACTCAATGGCTAATTATTTTCTTCCCAGCCACCCTGTAATACGAACGTTGGTCCCGAGTCCGAACCAACTTCTCCTGAGAGAGGCTTGGCCTGGAACTGAAACGAAGCCCGGCCTACCGCTTCCTACAGAGGATTCGTCAACTTTTGAATTGAATCCCACGCAGCAAACACAACCAGAGTATACTGCATACGACCTTGGTTACCCGCAAGTCCACGGAGGACCACCACGTCCCTATCCTGGGATAAATCAGTTTATAGATCACCAGCAGCAGCCTCAGCGCAGAAGAAGACCGCAACACCCAACTTCGGGGCCGGGATCCTATGCGCCTATCCATGAGACTCGCATCCGGCCTCCTCCCCGACCACCGCTGTTGGAAAGAATTAGGGAAAAGCTCAGGCCTGAAGAAGAAACAAACTATCCAGAGCGTAATACTTTCCCCGAGAGGTCTTATGATGTCTTGGAGGCAATTTTGTTTTGTATCCACGATGCACAGCTGTTCCTGGCCATCGCCCTCGGTCTGAGCTTTTATTTGGGCACCAACTGCTCCATGTCCCAATACCATCTAGACATTGCTATGAACCTGAGTCTCATTGGATGCATCAGCTTCCTATTGGCTTTCACGCTTGTGCGGAACTACTGGGTCTCACCTATTTCTAGCTTTATCCGGATTGGCTGCTTCGTGGCTGTGCTTGTCTTCCTTCTGTTAACTAGTATCACCCAGCTGAATTCCGGCCTCGTCCCAGAGTATGAGCCTCCTACAGCCAGGAATGACAGCTTGATCTTACTCGATGCTGCCTGTTTCTCCAACAAAACATATCAGAACGAGCTAGACCAAATCTCAGAAAGTCAGAGAGCCATTGTGGGAACAACTGGGAGAAGCCCTCCTCTTCTAAGCTACTACCGCTTGCTTTGGGCGATTGCCATAGCGTCCGGAGTTTCTGGCTCGATACGGATCTACCAATTTCTCTTCTATACGACAAATGGACCGGCCCGGAAGTCCCGCACGACCGACAACGAAGAGGGAATTGGCTTCCAGTCAATACTGCTCATGATCTGGTGGGGTGTTGCTTGGGCAGCTTGCGCCGTCGTCTACGGCGCAACAGTCCACCATGTTTTCAAGATCCGCAGCTGGGTATCGGGGTCTGGTTGGGTTCAGCCAGACGAGTTTGCCTCCAACCCCGAGAATGACGGGAGGTCGTTTGGTCAGATTGCAGCGATTGTTGCTACGGGGTCCATCGTTATTGCTGCTTTCGATCGTTGGAAGCCTAAGTGGTGGAAGACTTGGTTGGATGATGAAGAATAGGGATGAGCCGTCGTTGTTTATCGTGCTAGTGACGTGGCGAGATTTACGATCAAGATTGTGATGAAGGGGATCTATGCTTAAGACTAAGATCCGGATTATCAGCCCAGAATGGATATAGATTTACTATACTTGAGTTTCGTCTCTGAGTTAACTGGTATTTAATACTTTGTAGTCTTGGTTCGTGTTAATTCTATTATACAAGCATAGGGCTTTGCAGAGAAGCCTGAGAGTTCCGGTCTTAGGTTACCCATTCATACTCCGGCAGCCTGTATTTATTACTGTTGGCAAAAGAACCAGAGAAGAATCTCTGAGCAAATTCCAAAATCCTACTCCAAGTGATGAAAGCAAAGATGTGGTTTTGCAGCCAGATTCCCCAGACCGTCTGCGGCGCCATGAGTGTAGGGAATAGTGGTGGAATCTTTTGCAGATCATCAATCATGGGCCTCATTTGCGCTTCGTAAGCCTTGAGCGCTCCTGCGAGGTCACCCTTGTGCTTGCCGACCTCGCCTGCTAGAACATATGCGCCCGCGATGGCGAGAGTTGTTCCAGAACCAAGGGCTGCAGCGTAGCCTGCGTCCCCGACTAAGACAAAGCGCCCTCTAGACAGGTTTGGGGGTTTCACCTGGACGATCTCGTTGGCGTAGAAGTCTTCTGCCTCTATCATGCCTTTGAGGATCTCGTCAGTCTTCCAGCCCGCTCCCTTGTAGTTCTGGGCTACATATTATCTGAGGGCCGCGTCTCCTTGCTTGACAGCTTGTCGGAACGGCAGCGAGGTGTCGCGATCGTTACGAGGATGAATGCCCATCAGCGTCGCTCGAGTTGCACCTGATGGATCTGATCCAAGAGCGAGAAAACGGCCACCAGGGGCGCTGTGGGCGTGACCTATTTTACTTCCGTCGAGAAGGTCTTTGTCGATAGAAAAGAAACCCGCCTAGCAGTTTATCGGTTGGATATAGTCTCTGATAAGGCTCGGAACTACTATATCTACTCCATATTAGACTAAGTAGAGTAAATATACGATTTATTAGGCAATTATATAGTGGATATATATATTCGACCTGAGTGGAATAGACATATATATATGTATTTATAAGTGGATTTTTGAGGCTATTTATAACTGAGTCGGCCCCTATTCAGCCTTACTTTTAGAAGTTAATACTAACTCTTCTGCCTGTTGCTGCTATAATGAATCGTCAACCTCGCTGGTGCTGTCCTCGCCCTCCAATAGCTATTTTGACTCAGCAAGCGCCAGCTCGTCGTCGCTTAGAGTCCTATAACCGGCATCCAGCTTACTTTTAAGATATGAGTTAAGCAATGGATCCAGGTCCTTAATAAGGCCAGCACGGTACCAAAAGCGTAGAACCTGACAAATAGCGATAATCTCAGCATCTAGGTCCGTATGCAACCCCAAGACTATCTTGCCAGCAGCTGAAAATAACCTCTTACACTTAGCTGATATCGGCTGGATCGTCAGGAAGTCCAAGGCCATCCTAGATAACCGAGGATATCTGCTTTGCTTAGTGATCCAGTAACGAATTAGATTACGAATGTTGCCGTCGCTGGCCTCACGATCAGGGTTAGACATCTATCGAATCGAATGCCCGGCCTTGGCATTCGATTCGATAGCTTGTCATTCGATTCGGGCGTAGCCATATATAATTCGATTCGAATCTGGTATATCTCCCATAGATTCGATATCGAATCAAGCACCGTTCATTCGATTCGATGCCAAGACTCGATCGAATTCGATTCGAATTCGATCGAATAGATGACTAATCCCAGTGAAGGTAGACAAGGTCAGAGGAAATCGTAACATAACAAGAGACATCGCAGAATATAGTCAATTTGTTGAAAACAGGTACTAGATAGATTCGAAGTCGCTTGCGGTCCTTCAGCGACGCAAGTACATCAACCCATTCGCCATCACTTAGGCAAAGCAAAGGCAGCGAAGGCGTGTAGATCCCAGCCTTACTCCACGATCGAATGTACTGAGCTATAGCCACTATCTCCCTGCCCAACCGATTTCCCGACGGCGCCACCATAAGTCCTGTACTGCTAAATGTCCTCTCGCTCTCCGTAGATGATGATGGGATACTGAGCATAAAATACTACGTCACCCCATGCATATTGGAGCGGCGATGGGGTGTATGGGGTAGCCTCAGCTAAAGGCTATATGCCCGGCATATATAGGCAACTTGTTATGTTATTCTGTTACTTGTTCTGTATAACTTGTTAATCTATTTTTATTCTGTTATTCTGTTATTATATTATAGCTTTTATACTAATCTGTTATAATAGAATAATAGAATAAATAGAATAAGTAAAATAAGCTTTTTTTATTGCTTTTGCTATATCTAATAGGCTAAAAGATTATATATTTAATTAAATTAAAAGAAAGATTTCTTAGCTACTTAGAAAGGCTATTTATTAGCAGATTAAAAGTTTAAACTTCCAGTTAGAAGTTAGTATTATCTATATTTCCGAAAAAAGTAAGTTTTTTAATATAATAGCTCTAAAGGCTCTTTACTCTAAATATAAGAAACTAACTTATTTTTTATTTATTAAATAAAGAATTAAAAGCTTCTATAATAATTAATTTATTACTAAATATAATAGCTTTTTATTACTCCAGATATTATAAATACCGGAAAATCTTTATATTAAAATAGTTTTTATCTTATATCTATTATTATAACTTTAAAAAGTAATATTTTATTATTAATTAATAACTCTAATTCTTAAATATCTAATTAATTATTTTTAAACTTTTTTTTTATTATAAATTAGCAGTATTTAAATAAGAATAAATAACTTACTACTAGCTATAAATAAAAAAATTAAAGATACTATACTTTATATATACTAATTATACTCTAAATAAAGTTATAGATATTAAGTAATAGCTATATAATATATTAAAAACTGCTATACTATATAACTTTAATAGCTGCTAATATCTTTACTAATATTATTAAATTAATATATATTACCTGCTGTATTTATATTTATTTTTATATCTAATAGTCTTTAGCAGGCTTTTAATAGGCAGGTATATAATAAAGCTATTATAAAACTGCTTGTATAGTAAAAAGCTTCTTTTTTAGCTATTAAATAAAATAAGTTAAAGAATCTTATTTTAATATATAATCTAACTATTAGTAATTAATTAATTATCTTTAGATATTAGGCTATATATTATATTATAAAAAATTATATATTCTATAAAAATTAGATTAAAAATAAACTAGTAATTATATCTTTACCTATTTATATCTCTACTAATTCTAGACTAT